ATTTGTTCTTATTTGTATAGTATAATTATAAAATATAAACCAACAATTTCAATTTCTGTATATAATATTATAGTTAGTTAGGTTGTGATAATTTTGAATGAGTAACGCTAATTCATTAATGTTTGATACTTTGATGTGATACTAATTTTACTTTATATGAGAAATAATATGGAAATGTTTCTACTATTTTTAAATTATTTTGATGCAATGTTATAATACTATATTATAATTAATAATTATATAGATATCTAGACTAAAAAACGACGTCTCAATATTCACATACTTTTGCAAAGTACTGAAAGTACATAATGCACAACTCCTAATTTCTTTTAGAAACTAAAAGAACACTATTTTTAAATATTTATAGGGAATTTTTGAGAAAAATTTGAGACAAAATTTGCCGATTCTCCAATCTGACTTGGGTATAGGTGTGGAGGATTCGAGTTACCGATATGTTTTTTTAAATATTGAATGAGTCAATTTACCTTTGGTATGAAGATATCATAATTATATATATAATCCCATATTAAATCTGATAGGGTGTGTCACAAAATATAAGAAGATTTTTTTTTGAACTTGAACTTGGTCAATGAAATAAATGCAACCACCTATTTTCATATCCAATAATCAAAATTAATTGCCGCCACTGTGTACTACAACTAAATGGTTTCATTATATTCTTCCCAAAAATAAAAAAATAAAAAGAAAACCCAATCCTTAAGAGCCTGTTTGGGTATATGGATTTTAAGGCATGAATTTCCTAATATTTTGGATGTTGCCAAAATCTACTGTCTGGATTTCTTAATGACTAGGATACTTAAAATCAAAATCATGGAAATAAGACCTACTTTTTCATGATTTCATTTCTACACCCAAACCTATTTTTTTGCATTTCCAAAGCCCATGGATTTCACTTATTTGCTCCCTCAACCCGAAACATAGAGAGAGAAAGTACCTAAATTTTTTAAAGAGAGAAACTATCTCAAAATTTTTAGAGAGAGAAATTATCTCAAATTTTGACTTTTAGAGATAGAAAGTATGTTAAAATTTTAGATAGAGAAAGTACCAAAGTATGATAAAATTTTAGATAGAGAAAGTACCAATTGTTTTAGAGAGCTAAACTATTCAAAATTTCATAGAGAAACTATCTCAAATTTTAACTTTTAGAGAGATAAAAGTATGTTAAAATTATAGAGAGAGTATCTTAAAATTTTATAGAATGAAAGTACCAAAACTCTTTAGAGATATAAACTATCTCAAAATTTTAGATAGAGAAACTATCTCAAATTTTAAGTTTTAGAGAGAAACTATCATATTTTAGAGATAGAAAGTACATGCAAATTTTTAGAGAGAGAAACTATTGCAAAATTTTAGAGAGAGAAACAATCTCATATTTTAATTTTTAGAGAGACGTATAATATCAAATTTTAGAGAGAGTGCTTAAAAAGTTTTAGAGATAGAAACTATCTAAATAATTTTTAGAGAGAGAAACTATATCAAATATTAAATTTTAGAGAGAGAAATTATTCTTAAAATTGTAAAGAGAGAAAGTATTTTTAAAATTTTAGAGAGTAACTATTATAAATTTTAGAAAGAGAAACTGCCAAAAAAAAATTTAGAGAGAGAAATATCTCGTTTTTTAGAGAGAGAAACTATATTGAATTTTGAGTTTTTGAAAGAAACTATCTCGAATTTTGAATTTTAGAGAGAGAAATATATTAAAATTTTAGAGACTGAAATTATATCAAATTTTAGAGAGAGAAACTACCAAAAATATTTTAGAGATAGAAACTATCTCAAAATTTTTGGAGAGAGAAGCTATTGCAAAATTTATGGTTTAGAGAGAGAAAGTATCTTAAAATTTTAGAGGGATAAACTTTATCAAATTTTAGATAGAGAAAGTACATGAATTTTTTAGAAAGAAAAACTATCTCAAAAATTTTTAGAGAGAGAATTTATCTCAAAATTTAAGTTTTAAAGAGGGAAAGTATCTCAAATTTTAAACTTTAGAGAGAAAGTACATCTAATTTTAGAAAGACACTATACTATTTCAAAATTTTAGAGAGAAAAACTATCTCAAACTTGAAGTGTCAAGAGAGAAAGCAATTAAAATTTAAGAGAGTAACTATATCAAATTTGAGAGAGAGGAAGTACATAAATTTTTTTAGAAAAAGAAGCTATCCTAAAATTTTTAGAGAGAAATTATCTCAAATTTTAGCTTTAGAAAGAGAAATGACCTTAAAATTTGAGAGGAAAACTCTATCATATTTTAGAGAGAGACACTATTTAAAATTGTTCAGAGAGAAAAACTATCTCAAAATTATTGAAGAGGGGAACTATTTCAAGTTCTAAGTTTTAAAGAGAGTATTTTAAAATTTTAGAAAGAGAAACAATATTAAATTTTAGAGAGAGTAAAGCACCTAAAAATTTTAGAGAGAGAAATTATCTCAAAATTTTTATATAAACAATTTCAAATTTTAAACTTTGGATAGAAAATATATTAAATTTTAGAGCGAGAAACCGTATCGAGAGAGAAATTATATCAAAATTTTTATAAATACACTATCCCAAATTTGAGAGAGATTTAGAGAGAGATTTTATCAAGTTTTGGTATCAAATAATAGTCATGGAAGTGATTGCAAAGAATTTATGAATTTTGTATAGTCTATCCAAACAAGAGAGTCGAGGAGGGCATGACAAACAAAACTTTGAAATTGAAAATGTACAGATTTTTTTGAATTTCAAATGTCTAAAATTTTTAATTTCCTCTTTGCCCTTGAGTTAAAATGCTTGCGTATTGGTTTCCGGTTTTTGATTTTGAAGGCCGCGTGCACGTAATTTTAGCTTTAAATCCAAGGAACCGTTGGACCATTGAGGGGGGCGTGTTTCTTCCGCAGATGTAGAGAGAGAGGACAAAGAGGCCCAAAAATTAAGTGAGAGAGAGAGTATGTTTCGAAGAGAGAGAGTTTTGAAAAGGGGGGAGAGAGCGAGAGCGCCATTGTTTCCTCATTCTTATTCCTGACCAAACTGCAGATTACCGCCAGGTTCTTATCCCATCACCAGGACAGGAGGAGAGGGAACGAGAGAGGAGAGAGAAAGAGAGAGGAGAGAGAAAATTTAGAATTTATAAAGAGAGACAGAGAGGAGAGAGAGTTTGGAGTCGTTCATGACCGACTGAGCGTGTCCAGGTTATTCCCCCCTGCTCTTTCATTTTAAATCTCGAGGTCTCTGAATCCTCATCGAGCCGTCTTCTTCTTCCTGACCCCTCGTGTTTCAGGTCCGCGACATTTCCTTGCATGAAATCTTATGATCTTTCTTCTCTCTCTATTTCTTCCATTTTATTGATCCTGTTGCTCGAGAGATCAGCTGGTTCTTTCATTTGAAGGACTAGGTTATCTTCTCAATCGATCTACGGAAGTTTTTCGTCTGTTTTCATTTTTCTTTGTACTCTCGTTGTCAAATTCACTATTTTTTTCATGGGCTTTGCCTTGTATGGACTGGTTAGTTTAGGTGAATTTTTTGGGGTTGTTTTCTCTGAATTTGAGGAAGAAATAAAGTGGTTGTTTGATGAAGGATTGGTCTTTCTCATAGGTCTGATCGGTTATGGCGTCATCTGCACAACTTCGATTGATGTCTGATTTGAAGGCCATTACCAGTGAACCACCTGAGGTGAGCTAAATGGTGATTTATCCCCTTCTCTTTTGCCCCCTCTTGTTTTTATATCTGCTCTTTATATGATCTCTAATTTGGGTTCCTTTCCTTATTGGGGATAGAGGTTCTTGTCGGTAATTTTTATGTGGTTTTATAAACCAGGGCTGTAGTGCGAGCCCCCATTCTGAAGAGAATTTGTTTGTTTGGAGCGCAACCATATTTGGACCTGATGAGACTCCATGGGAGGGTAAGAAGCCCTTGAATTTGATTTGAATTGGTTTTTCATTTCTTCTCCTTATATTCGAGTAGATTGGAATTGATTGTTTTATATCCTTTTTCTCTATATTTGCCTTTTATTGGATTGGAGTTGGGTGGTTTGTCTTGCTTTGGCTGATAATCATTAGCCTTTGATTGGATATGAATTCGGTTGCTTTATCTCTTTCTTTAGCTGATTATGCGTTACCCTTTGATGGGATTGGAATTAGCATGGTTTTCAGACTCGGGGAGTTCAGATCAGACTCGGCCGAGTGACTCGGCCTCACCCTATGGGCGAGGCGAGTGTGGGTCGAGTCCACTGTACATAATCTTTTAATAGTTATATATTATAATGTTCCAAATTTAATTATGAGCATTGAAGTGTTGCCCGGTTTAGTGTGCATGTTTAATGTTCATGCGGTTGAGGGTTCGAATCCTACCTTTGTATTGTTACATTATCATATTTATTTGCTCTTAAGAAAAAAAGGATTTGGGATTGGATCCCATGCCGTATTGTTAGACGACTACTGCAGGCAGGCTACCACGACGCCGGCCGAGCCTAATGAATAGATATTTCCATTCATTATATATATATATATATATATATATGAGATGTTTTCGTGATTTTCTTTTAAAAAACAGTATGAGCTTGACTCAGGCGAGTAACTCGGACTCGCCCGAGCAAATCGCCTCTGCCAGGGCCTGAGTACCTTGGCCAAGTCGATCTTTTGAACCTTGGTTTTATGTCTTCTCTGTTGTTATTATTCATTCTTTGTTGTCTGATTTTCCTTGGGAATTTGTTTTTGTTTCTCATGATTCTTACTCAGGTGGAATTTTTGGATTGCGGATTATCTTTGGGGATAACTATCCTGAAAAGCCACCCCGTGTGCGGTTTACAACTGAAGTGTTTCATCCTAATGGTTAGTGGTTTTAATTGTTTCTATGATGATCCATGCATGTTGATTATGGCCCTGTTTTGGTTAATAAAAAGAGACCAAAAGATAGGATTCGTCCAATTTACAAAGAATGTAATGTATGTGTGCATGTGAAATAATATCCTTTCTAAAACAAGCACATTTTTGAAAATTGAATTAATTTTATCCAAATGTTCATCTTAGGATAATATAAAGCAACAGTATGATGTGATGCATGGTATCTAGGTCTTTCATCTCAAGTCATTGTTGGTGGTTTGTGCCTTAAATGCCTGTAATCACGGTGTGATTCTATTCCTTGTTTGGCAGATTATGAGATTTATAAAGGAACGATGGTTGTACACGATAAATGCAAGAGAAATGGATTTGTAAAAGACAATACCGAAAGGGGTTAAGCCTAGGATACATGTTTAAGTATCATTTACTCATTTAGTGGTAAGGATATGCTTATGAGTACACCATTAGGAGACCTTGTCTCTTAGGTGAAGGCTGGCCAGCATCCCCCCTTCTCATACACTTACTATTCAAAGGTCGCTTTTTGTATTGCTGATATGAAGAATGCTTGTCTCTGTGAGGATATGCATGAAAAGGTACACATGGGGCTTCCTTTAGGAATTTGATCCTGTCATCCTTCCCTTGTTTCAGTCATGGAAGGTTCTTTATGAATCCGAAATTCCCATTATGCCCGAGTTGAAATTTCAGGCTGCTGTGCACAGAATAAAATACCTGCCTTTTTGGTGGCTTTTTATTACATATATTCTACTTAAGTACATGATAAATTGGCCCTACCTTGTTGTTGGACCATGTGGCTTATACTAACTCTAACTGAGCTGATTATCTTGATCTCATGCTGGTTAACTACTGGTGATTTCTTCTTTCTGGGCATGTCAATTATATCATGGAAAAGAAAGAAGCACATGCACTTATAAGTTTGTTGTTAGTTTCTTATAAAAGGAAATGACGTGAAAGCAAAATATGTTATTACAAAGCAGATTGTACTTACAGTAGAGGTATGTCGCATACTTGCAATGATGTGTGAATCTGTGCAGTTCGTATGACAATGGTGTTTAATGTGAGATACCTGCAACTCTTCAATAACTGTGATAATGCTTGTGCCATCTAGATTGCTTCAAGAATGGTCTTTCATAAATGAAGCATGCACATGGAGGCTGATCGTCACTTTGTTCGAGAGTGCCTCCATACCTGTGTAATATATTTTCCACATATTCCTACTTTTAGCCAGCTGACAATGGAGTCGTGAGTTGCATTAGGCATACATTCCTGGCAAACTCTCCTTTTTCATCTTATCAGCCAAGATGAGTTTTGGGGAGTTGTTGGAGTTAAATGTACACAATTGTATATAATCAACCGTAAATGCCTTTCTATCTTTTTTTTTTATTCTATAGCAAAGGTTAGACAATGAACATCTAATTGCTACTTTGTTGCATTTATATGAAATTCATGTTGGGCTGTCTCTTTGTCTGCTTGTTTGTCATTTGCTATCCACTCTTTTGCTAGGGGCACAAATCGTTGCATGAATTGCCCAAGCACAAAGTATAAAATGAGCTGCACAAATCGTTGCATGAATTGCCCAAGCACAAAGTATAAAATGAGCTGCTTTTCTTGAGCTACTAAAGGATACCTTAAATCTTGAGCCATTTTGGAGGAAATCACTGCCTGCCACCCTATGCAAGCTGGAGATTTTTGCATGTATGGGGTAAATAGAACATGGAAGATGATTGATGTCGTTTGTGTCAATTGGGTGCTTTCTATGCTGTATAATATCGAAACAAGATTCAACAATCACCAGTTGATTTCCCATATATGAATGTTCTCCAAGCTTTTTTGTGCATAAATTAATGGACTAGGCAAGTCTAACGAGAATTAAAATAGTTAATGTGCATGCCAATAGAGATTAAATAATTATCCGGAGTACATACCATGTCATGTGGTGGAGCTGCTGTTGCTGTGCATAGCTTTTGTAAGAAATATGCAAACTCAACATTTTCTTTTTTATTTTTATTTATGGTACCGGGGTGGTCCAGGCCACCTAGCACTTAGGCGGGTGCTCAGAACCTGAGCGGTCCAGTAGAAAGAAAAATGTCTGTAGTCTAAGTCTTTAAGTCTAACAATATAACTATATAACACATAATCCATAATCCATATTTCCATAAATGAGGAGAATTTAAATAATCCATACTCCATATTTCCATACAATGCTAGAACCATACAAGCATACACACAAGAGTTAGATAGTAGAAACTCGAAACTAAAAAATAGGAAAAAGAAAATATACAGTCTAAGACTCATAGTCAACACCAAGAGTCACTCGTCTTCATTCTGCGGTCATCATCATCATCATCAAAACTAGGGTAAGCCTCATCATATGCATAAGATTCGAGACCATCATCATCAAAGTCATCTCCCTCTTCAACATAAGACTTGTCCTCATCTGTTTCTTTTGAATCTGCTTCTTCTTCTTCTACCTCCCTTTCACTCTGTGCAGATGAGGCCGTAGGAGTCTTGGCTGACCTACTTGGTGCTTCTTCACCCTTTTCTTTCTTTTTGTGCTTCATTGAACTCAAATATTGTATGATCTCCTTCCTGGCAGCCTCAGGAATATTTTTACATGAGGCAACATCCCCTTTAATACCGGCAAGGTGTTTCTTGAATCGATAAATACCCCCATTAGTATCCTTTCCACAATAACTACACCTAATACGCTTTTTGTCATTCGGATTCGAGTTATGACTATACTTCTAACCCGGATCACCACTTCTAGAAGAACCTGGAGAAGATATTTCCATAGAATAAAGATCATTTTCTTCCTTTTTTAGTTCTACTAAATTCAAATATTGTCTAATCTCATCCTGAATAGCTTCAAGAACTTTTTTATAAGAAGCAACATTCCCTTCAATACCGGCAACGTGTTTCTTGAATTGGTTAATACCCCCATTGGTATCTTTTTCACAAAAATTACACCTTATACAATTTTTATCGTTTGGTTTCAGGTTATAACTATGCTTCCAACCCGGATCACCTCTTCTAACAGAACAAAAAATAGACCTATCCAATTGACAAGGATTTTGTTTCTGTTTGTGTTTTACTGAACTCATATATATCCCCTTTGATAGCTTCAGGAAATTTTTTACAAGGGCCAACATTCCCCCTAATACCAACAAGATGTTTCTTAAACCGGTTTATGCCCCTTTTTGTAATATTTTCACAATAATTGCGTCTTATGTAATTTTTTTTCAAGGATTTGGGTTATATCCATATTTTCAACCCGGATCACTGCGTCGATTAGATCCTGAAGAAGACATCTCAAAATAGTACAAGCAAACTAAAAATAAAGTTTTGAACTTATTTTGATTGCTTGAACTCCAAACTTCCACCTCTGATATGTTTTATGGTGTTAAAATATTAAAAAACACCCTCTAATAGGCGTAAAAAAACTCCAAAACTAGATCTAATCTTAACGGGTGATGTTTGGATCTATTTCTCATAACTTTGAGAAACACTTCGATCCAATGAAAATCACAAAATCTAGTTTTTTTTGAGGTTTCTCTCTCTCTAAAATAGGCTCTAGTAGGTTCAAGTTTCAAATGAACCTAAAACCCACCTTTAAAAACAATATTTTTTTTAAAAAAACCAAAATAAGCCCCTCAACAAAGGGCATTTAAGCCCTTGGAGGGGCCAAAGCCCTAGGCAGCCGCCTAGGGCTAGGCACTGTGCGCCTGCCTAGGTGGGTGCCCTACCTCCTAGGGATAGCCCGCCTAATTTGGCCACCTATCCCTGGGCGATGCGCCTAGGCCTTTTGGACTGCCTAAGCGTTGGGCGGTCCGCTTTTTATGGTATGCATTGAAGTTAGTCCATTATGGGATTAGTCACAAATCTAAGAGTCATGTAATGTGAAACCCGTTCCTCTTTATGTAATAGAGGTTAGGGTACTTCATAGTGTGATTCAATAGATGAGATGTAGCTTCTTTAGTCATCTTAATCTCTTTTTAGTTAGAATATATTCATTTATTAGTCAATTTTGTCATGCCTCCACATTTATGTTTGACACCTTATGTCAGCTGGTTTCGTTATGTGTTTTACTTGAGAGTCTGTATGGGGTTATGTATCACGTATGCTTCATTCCTTGCTGGTCACAAGACACTAGCACATTAGAAACAATAAGTTATTTATTAGTTGTCAAAATATAGTTCTCTAACAGATGGAGATCTTACTGACTTTGTGTGCTCCTCATGATTTTGGGTACAGTTGTACATAACATTCCAAGACATGTATATTTTGGTTCTGTACCTGTCAAGGTCTCTGCATACTAGTTTTTACTTGTCAATATCTCTTTGCATGTCCCATATGTAGCAACCAGATCTATGCCATTATGATTTGTACAACCTGTTCTCTACTGTTGGATGTTGGGTTTTTACACATGAAATCTTTAGAACCTAAGAAGATACTGCCAGCCGATGCAATCACTTCCAGTCCACATATCCTAACTTTGTCTTCATCCAATGTTCACTTTCAGGGAGTTGGACATATGCAAACTCAATAACTTTTCATTGTTATCATCGTTATATATTACAGTTATGTCTTTGCGACCCGTATCTTACAATTACATGATGTTTCCACTGCCTCTCTATATGAAAAAGGTTATGGTCCATTGGTCCTTTTGAAGGATGAATCAGGATTCAAGATGTAGCATCTATTGGAACTTTGGAATTTACAGGTATTTTTATATAGCGCTTTGGCCTTTTATGTAAAATAACTATTTTTGGTCCTATTGTCATTCTTCTGTGTATTTATGTGCTTCTTTCTTTTATTCTTCTTGAGTCTTTGGTCCTTACAATACGAGAACTTAAGGGCATGTTTCTTTTCTCTTTTGGTCCTATTGTCATCAATGCATTCTTTCTCTGTTATATTATCAAAAGAGATTTTCCTCTTTGGTGGTCAACAGATTTTTGTGCGACTTAAGGGCCTCT